GGCCGGGCGGGGCCGGGCGGGGCGCCCGAGGAGGCCCGTGCCGGCTTAGAAAGCAGGGTTCGCTCCTCCCCTCCGAATTTGTAAATGCACAGATTTGCCGATTGTTAACTGAAGTTAGAGGGTGTGTTAAATAGCAGACATCGTTTGTGTGTTTATTTTTAATACAAAAAACTTGATTTTTATCCCTGAAATTTTATTTCTGCTCAGGCTCCTTTATAGAAAAGACATCACCGCTTTATTTCACCTCTATTCATATAAAATATCGTTTACTTCATAAACAGTGTTATCTCTGATTCTTGGTCTTGAGTGAAGAATCTTCACTGCTTAAAAATACTTGGGAAAGGGTCTTTCTCAGACCCCGGATGAAACGTGCTTCCCTGTGGGGTCACAGCCCCTCCCCGACTCCTGACTCCCGCAGGTCGGGGGCCGAGCCCGCCCAGCCGACCGTGCCCTGGGCGCGCACAGCTCTGGTGTCTGCACTTGGCCGGGCACGTGGATGTTTAAAAAAAAGTTCCTTGAACTAGTGAATGTTCTAGCTTGAACAGATTATCGTCCATCATTAGGTCACTTTTTGTTCAGGACATCATTCTGCCACTTGATTTTATTCCTTTTATGAAACTCAGTTTTAAATTTAATCAGTCTAAGGAAATACACTAAGTCAAGTCACTGCTGAGTTAGAAACCAACTGGAATGAATTGTTTTCTAGTTTAGAGAACAGTGCACTTGAACCACTTTGCATCATACCTTACCTCTACCTTTTCTGAGAAGTTGGTTGTGTTTATGAACAAACTTTTATCAGCAGTGCTGAAGAATTACAGCCGTGGGTCAGATTTTTGGGGTGGAATAGAGAAGAGGTATTTTTCTGCCTTTATTTTGAATTGGCTTAGTTCTACCAGAAGATGGCATTATCTCCTTCTGAAAAGCATTTTTCTATTAATTTGAAATAACCTTGCATTTTAGATGAGAAATAAAATAAAATTAGAATCATCGTAACAAATATTTGAGTGTTTTTAATCCTTTGACTTAAAAAATCATTATAGTCTGGTCCGTGCTAGACTGGAAAATTGCAACTCTTTCCTCTTCTCCTTTGCTTTTGTTTTTTAGGGCTACTCCTTTGTTGCCCCTTCTATTCTGTTCAAGCGTAACGCGGCCGTGGTAGACCCTCTTCAGTTTCACGTGGGAGCGGAACGTCCCGGAGTGACAAATGTTGCCAGGAGTGCAATGATGAAGGTATATAGATGTCACTAATTACATGACATATTTATGGTTTAAATACTAATACTGATTGACATTCTTAAGTCCAGTAAATTTAAGAGACGTACCATTCTACCAAGATGTGATTTTAAGAAATGAATAAATGGAAATACCAATATTTCCCTAGAGAATTACTAATATCAATGTGAATAAGCTCCTTTTTACGATGATAGAAAATTATGTAAGTTAAATAAATGATATAGATGAATGTAGAAATGAGCTAAAGTAAGATGAATTTTAGATTATAAATGTATTCCATTTACATTTATTAACATTAATAATGTCCTATTATTGCAGTTTTATTTACCCCATGTGTATTACTGATATTTTCTTAAGTGAAGTGATGTTGGTTTCTTATCAGGACTCTCCATTCTACCAGCACTATGAGCTCGACCTGAAAGACAAACCACTGGGAGAAGGAAGTTTTTCAATTTGTCGCAAGTGCATACACAAAAAAAGTAACCAAGCATTCGCAGTCAAAATAATCAGCAAAAGGTATGGCCATTTCTGGCAGCCTCTCTCATGTATTCATCCCAGTCAATGGGTTCTGTGAATTAAGATTTTTATTTAAAAGAAAATCATTGGTATACTGTAAGGCTTGTTACCCACAGGGTTAGCCATTCGGCTCATCAGTTGATCCTTTCTACTTCTAACTCTAATAGATATTTTCAGATAAAGTAACCCATTTCAGACATAAATCATAGTAGGATATGCTTTGACTTTATTATGAGAAAACTCCTGTGGCAGTGATATTTCATCAGACTGGTTTAGTGAGTTCAGCAGCTCTTGTCATTTCTACTCATTGTATATTTGAAATACTTTAAAAAATTGTTTAGCAACCTACTGGTAGCTTTGAGAACCAGCTAGTTGTTTTGGTAACTAATTTTTAACTTCATATTTATATATATTCTTATTACCAAATTGTCAGGCAAGTAGGGCATCCATCTCTTTGTGTGATTAGCTGTTTTCTGACTCAGAAACTATCTTTTCTCAAGAATAATGCATTACTTATTCTGGTGGGTGGTATGACTCATTACTTTCATGGAAACTTCTCATCTTTTGACGCTTATATTCTGAATACACTGTAAATAAAAACAAAATGAGGGTTGGGGCGATACTGACAAACACTTGGCGAAGAGGTTTGTAGAGACTAACTGTTCCATCTCACAGGATGGAAGCCAATACTCAGAAAGAAATAACAGCTCTGAAGCTCTGTGAAGGACACCCCAATATTGTGAAATTGCACGAAGTTTTTCATGATCAGGTAGTCCACTTTTTTTTTTTCTGTGCATACTAATTCACATTCCAAGTTTCTATCTTTTTTTACCAGTTTTGTTGGTGCTACTGGGTCAGAGTTAATGTGCAACGTCACCCAGCTGCTACAAAGGGCAGAGAAACCCTCCACACACAGTCTTAACCACCCCCAAAATCAGTGCATCCTTTAACTTCTGTGTTTCTCCTTCAGCGGCAGCCATAGGTGACATGGGAGGGGAACAGAGGGGCTGGAGCCCAGGGCCACTGCCACCAGCTTCGCTGTGCTTATTACCAATACCAGTTCAGCTGCAGCCACTGGAGCTTAATCGCTCAGACCTCTCAGGACTCAGGAATGTTCAACTTTCCTTCTACTTCTAGAATAGAATGTAGAGAACCTTGAACCTAATTAGCGAACTAAAGGTCAGGAAGGAAGCAGAAAGGCAAAGATCCCTCCCTTTCACCTGCCTACTCCAGGTGGCAATTTCTGCTCCGGCCGCGGGCCATGCCATGCTGCCCCCTCTGCTACTCCCAGTCCTGATTTTTAACGGAAACCTAACACTGACACATGTGACTTAGGATACAAGAGGAGCGCCACTGTGTCAGGTCCCTGTTCCTCCCCAGTTCCTCCACTGCCATCCTCGTGAGGGAAATTGCTCCATGATGTTTGTCTTTTCCTCGGGGGCTGGGTGGGATGACACAGCCCTGTTCAAGACCGCATGCTGGGCACAGAGCTAAAACCAATCATGGTTTTACCAAGAAGAAACAGATTCAGAAGGGTCTATGGCCCACTTCTCTACCACATTGAAATTTCCCCGAGTGCTGCACCCAGACTGATACATCCCAGTGAAACAGGCAGCCGCAGCAGCGTAACTGTGAGGACTGCTGCTGTTCCTGTCATGCCTCCTGTGGTCCAGGCACTGCACCACTCTACGAGGGTTATCTTATTTAGTCTTTCCAGCAGTTCTATGAGGTAAGGAAACTGAAACTCACAGAAGTTAAGTAACAGGGTCTCACAGTTGGTAAGTGCTAATGCTGGGATCTGAACCCAAGCAGCCCAACTTAAAACCCAAGCAGGCTTTTAATTACTTTACTCTACTGCCCTAGGGGAGGCAGAAACAGCCTGGTTTTCACATCAGGTGGGTAAGCAGAACTAATCTCATCATCTTCTTGCTCTTTGGTTCTCATAGCCAGAAAAGGAACATCTTAGTAGCAAGAACTCAGTAGGAAATGCTCTTCCTGCTCCTCTACTGCCTTCCCCTAATTGGGCTAGTCAACTAAAGTGTAGGTAATGAGTCCCCTGTCCACTGGAGGAGCTTAGGAAGAGCCTGGACAGTGTCAATCAGGATTGGTCAATGGCCTTCAGCGCCCAGCTCTGTGGTTTTGCAGCTGTCCCCCAGCCACATCCCAGCAAAGACATTCAATCTCTGACCTTCAGGCTGAGGTCAGATCTCAGGAACTGCATCCCCAATGTTTTACATCACAAGTTATATTTATTATATGCTATTTTTATACTCAAGAGTTACTAGAATCAGTTATGTCATGGTATAATCCTATAGGTACTAATATAAATATATCATCATTCTGATATACAGTTGATATCTTGGGCTGTTTTACCCATGATGGTGATAGTTGCCTAGCTCATCCATAGTCTTGTTTTCAACTACTGGGTGAAATCGATTGAGGGCAGGACTTCATCCGTTGACTGTGCTACAGTATAGTTCATTTTGTTGACCAGGATTCATGCTTTACTATTCTGTTAGTTTCCTATTGCTGCTGTGACAAATGACCACAAACCTAAAACAAGCTTACCATCCCACAGTCTGAAGATCGGAAATCCAAAATCATCTCAATGGTGTAAAGATAGGATGTCAGCAGGGCTGGTTCCTTCTGGAGGCCCTAAGGGACGGTCCATTCGAATGCTTTTCTCAGCCTCCAGAGACTGCCCGCATTCCTGGCTTGTAACCCTCCGTGCCTCACTTCCATCTCCTGTCTCCATACCCCACCTCACACTGTTGGCTCTGATGGATGACTGAGATAGTCTCCCCATCTCCAGATCCTTAATCACAACCGCAGAGTCCCTTTACCATTGTAAGGTAACATCCACGTGTTCTGGGGAGTAGAATATGGGCATCTTTGGAGGGCCATTGTTCAAGCTACCACATAAAAATTTCTCAGTATCTGCATTTTATTTATAAGGATCCTAAGGTTAAAATAATATCCCCACTGACGTAAGTAAATAAGAGAACTGACATTCAGATCCAGGTTTGACTCTAATACCTATCTTTTAAACCACTATAGGATAGGCATTGCCCTCCATTTTTTAAAAAGTTCACAGGCATGTACTTGTAACAGATCTTCAACTTTGACCTTATTTGTCTGATGTAGAAACTCAAATTGGCTTGATCGCTAGTAGCCTGAGAGCAGTTCTCTTCTTACTAAAAGGGTTGTTCGCCCTTTACAATTTGCCTAATAGGTGCAGGACGATGTATTTATAATTGTCTTTTTTATGAAGCAGGTTTTCTGGATTTTGCTAATTAAAAGGGAAACATACTCTGTTTTGCCTTTTGAGTGACATTGGTGCTATAATGCATGGCACCTGAATCTGAATATTGATTTGATATACTTTTTAAAACCATTTGTGTTCATTTGAGAGCTAATATAATTCCTTTGTTTTTTGATAGCTATGTTATTTCCTTTATGGAAATGTCTGGAAAGCATAGTAAGTATATAACTGAGTAAACTAGTTAAGATAATGCTATTGGGATCTAAAGCAGTTATTTTAAAAAACAAAAACCTACAATGAGTTATGGATATTTGCCATGGGTATTGACAGGAGCCCTGAAAATTACCTGTTAAGCCCTAACAGGAGGGCATCACAAAACAGGGCCTTTTAAAAAAGTAACCATCAGTAATCTTGTATGTGATTTAAAGCAGCCAGTTTCACACTATCAGTACTAGGTCACACTTTAACAAGAAAGGTATGTAAACCTGATAGAATTGGAATGGAATTCAAATGAAAGAAAAGAATATATAAAGGCTGCACTGCGGTACTTGAAATTTTCCGTTACCAAAATAGAATTCTAAAAAAGCCACGGTCTCCTGCAGCTCGCTCTTCTAAAATGCAAGGATTGCTGCTGCTGATTTTAACAAGGGACTATTTAAATTTATTGGTGATAGTTAACAGTCAATAAATGTTTTATATGTTCATAAACTTCTTCACTGAGGCCCTCCACCTTCCTCTTCCTGCCCTAGCTTCACACTTTTCTCGTGATGGAACTTCTGAACGGGGGAGAGCTGTTTGAACGCATTAAGAAAAAGCAGCACTTCAGCGAGACCGAGGCCAGCTACATCATGCGGAAGCTCGTCTCAGCCGTGAGCCACATGCACGACGTGGGAGTGGTGCACCGAGACCTGAAACCCGAGGTACCAAAGAGCACGTCTCCTCACCCCGTCCAGCCTCGTTACTGACTATCCCCCAAATACGAGTGGGCTCCTTCACTTGCAGGGCTTTCTGCTAAATGGATACCTGGGAATATCATGATTCTTGGATTTTTTTTCTTCTCTATCTCAGTCTAAAATAAACTTGTCTTTTTTTTTTGCCCGCTGATCATCTTGAGGTTATATTTGTAAGTGTGAGAGCCTTTTATGGAAGAAATACTTTATGCAACAGTTGTGGACTAAAAATAGCAATGGAAATTTTTGTAGCAGAAAATAATATCCCTTCTATATGTATACCATTTTAGAGGGTTTTTTTAAATGGTGTATTTTGAAAGCTCATTTTTCACATTTGTAATCAAATCGATTAGCTCATGAGTAGGAACATATATAATTCAGTTCTAAATATCAAAATGTAAAGAATTGTCTTATTTAATTAGGTACACCATCCTTATATGTGCGCTCCTTTGCTCATGTACTGTGATATTTATAGAACTGTAGCACTGCAGAAGTAGCAGCTTTTTTACATATTTCTTCTTTGAAAGGTTAAGGCTTTAACTCTAGAATGATCCCTTTATATTATCAAAAATAAGAAAGTTCCTCCCTTTTAGAAAATCACCAAAATAAAAATGAAAATTTAAAAGCAAAACCCAATAATTTATAAAAGAATAGCAATGAATCATCCTTTCTATATGCAAAATTATACGTATTTCCTCTTTAAAATAGAACATCATGTTTTATTACCCATGTGATCATAATGCATTTTCAAGTATATTTAAAATAATTTATTTGGTGTTTATTTTTGTGTTAAAGTCACAAAAGAATGTTTTTCACAGAGCACCATTTTTGCCTTTTATTTAAGTCCCTTGGATTCTGGACAGGAAGAGATGCTTTTCAAAATGGAACTGTGTGCATTCAAATGCAATTGAACAATTCCTAAAGTGTTTAAACTTTAGTGTGTGTGTTTGTTTTTTCAATCCTTACCCGAAGACATGTTCACTGATTTTTAGAGAGAGGGGAAGAGAGAGAGAAACATTTATCGGCTGCCTCCCGTGCGCACCCTGACCGAGAATTGAACCCGAGACCTTTCGGTGCATGGGATGGCACTCCAACCAACCGAGCCACACTGGCCAGGGCCAGGCTCTGCATTTGATATTACTGTTATTCATCACACTAGTGGTTAATCAAAAATGAATTTGTTTTGTGAACTTGTGACTGTGATAGCTGCCCCTCTGCTTTCTTCATCAGAGTTCTCACGCGCCTCCAGGACGCCCACTGACAATCTGCTGCTCTGTGCATTGGAGATTAGCTGTCTATTTTTAAGTGTGAAAGCACACCCCTTAAATGTTTTCTTGATAGACAAGGAACAAGCATGTAATTTTTTTAATTGAAAAGATCTGTTCCATGACTGTATAGAATTCGTTTTCACATGTTTTATTCTTTGATAACTGGCCATCTGTCATCTCATGAGTCTCAAACGATGCAGCTGTCCCCTCCAGTGGATTTAGTTTGCCTTCCTATTTTACTGACACTTAATTCTTCTTATATGTTATAAAACTTTTCTCTCACATAGTCATTTGAAATGAAGACTTGTCAGATTGTTTAGAACATTCTACTACAATTGTAATTCTAAATCAAAATTATTTTTTGGAGAACCAAAAATGTACCTTTGTACTAACACTTTTGTGATAAAAGAGCTTTCACTTCGACTTTTAAACTGCAGAGTATATTATTTCCAAACCAAAAATTTAATCCTTTCCCCAGTGATATAGCATTTTAAGATATGATTCTGTATCTGTTGATGATATTTATGTATGCGGCACTCATTTTCTGCATAGGCAAAACCCTGAATTCTAGGTGAGAATCTGATAAGTTTAGAAGCTGGCTGACATCCTTAGTAAGCTGCTTTGTATTTTTGAAACTGGTTCCCATAGTCTTAAAAGATTAAGAAAAATTACATCAACTTAGTTTCAGGCAGAGCTTGAGACGCTGATACGAGGAGATTGAATTATTACTCCCGCCCATTCCTGACAGTTGACAGCCCACTCCACTTAGACTTGGGAGAGGAGAGGCAAGGAGAGGGGAGTGCTGCATCCCCTCCACTTCTAGGGGCAAGGTCAAGGAAGTCCATTGCCATTCTTAATAAGGAATAAACTGAAGTCATTTTCAAAGATCTAATAGGCTCAATGACCAGGGTCCAGGTGTGCTTGGCTCACTGCTCTGCATGTAGCGCCCTGCGGAGGAGCTCAGGAGCCCTTTGCTGAAAGATGTCTCCCAAGTACAAGTCCCTGGACCCCCACCTGTGACTTCAGTTGTAGTGAAGCCTTACACTTAATTATATTCATATTTTAATTCCATCTCAAATTCACAATTAAGCATTATATGATAGAAAATTCTTTCAAACTTCTCGGTTAATTTTTTTTTGTTTTTCTTCCCACTTTACTTACTTTTAACTTCTGAATAAAAGGCTTAGGAGATTTTTCTTCTTTGTATCAATGGCACCTTCTATGATGTTTTTTACTTCAGTTAGAATAATATTAGCAAAACAAATGATGTTACAGAGCTGGGGAGTAATTGAATGAACATTAAAGGTATAACAGGCCTTGTTATTGTCTAAAGACAATACTGTAGTCAGGTTTACATACTGTGGGTACTAGCTTGATGTGCTGATAAAAATGATGATTTGTGCCTCAGTACAGTTAGCATTTATTAAGGATGTAATAAATATAAAAAGCAGTAGAGTAAAACCTTAGTGATTGAGAAGCTTTAGTGGATGAATGATTCAGAATAACAGTGTTTTCTGAATAACTGAGGTATAATATTCATGAGCATCAAGAATGTTTAACTGTTTTGGAGAAAATAGTTCTGAAATGTATGTCTCCACCATGTCTTCTTTGGTATGTTATAATGGATCTTACATAACTATTTATTTGTGACTCCATTCATTGGACACATAATTATCAAAGCGCCTACTGTTTGACCATGCCGGACCCTCAGGACGGAGTCATAAATAAGGGGGACACAGATCCCTACCCTGGAATGAAGGTCTAGTGGGGATGAAGACACTGAACTAATAATGCAGAGGCAATACGTGCCAGGAAGGAAATGTAAATAATGCTAAGAGAAAATATAAAGAGTCCTAACTTCAGTTTGGTGCACTGTTGGGCAGAGTCTGAACAGAGAGGCTCACATGAGCATCTTGGGAGGGAGGTCGGTGGAGGAAGTGGACCGCAAACGCTGTAGTCAGGGTTCCGGAAAAGTCTAGACAACTGGACAATGGCTCTGACATCAGACCAGACATGATGCAGTCGACATGTTCCACGTGACATTGTAAAACTGAAGTAACACAAAAAGTTACAAAGCAAAGAACAACAGTGCACTGATGTCCAGCTCTCGGACCCTCCCCATCAGACCCTCTCTGTGTCTGAATCCAGTATCAACATGCAATTTACATGAATGCATCACAAGTCCCATGACATTTTAGTGAGACTGATGTGTTTGTATCTTGCAGAATTTATTGTTCACTGATGAAAATGACAATTTGGAAATTAAGGTAATTGATTTTGGGTTTGCACGCTTAAAGCCGCCGGATAACCAGCCTCTCAAGACCCCGTGCTTCACCCTTCACTTTGCCGCCCCGGAGCTCTTGAACCATAACGGCTACGATGAGTCCTGCGACCTCTGGAGCCTGGGCGTCATCTTGGTGAGTTCATTCAGTAGAGCCATTGAACCTAGTCAGTTTCTGGATGCCGTCCATACCTGTCTCTCTCTCTCTGCTGGTTTTCCTATATTCATGAAAAAATTGGCAAGTTGGTTTCTTTTCAGTTAGAGGCCTGACAGAAGACTGTTTCCTTTTCTTAAAATTTGCATTGGAGAAAATTTAGGAATTTTGATTTTGGTTTATTTTGAAATATTTAAAGCAGCTGTGTTTTATGTGAATAAAAGAGTTACGTGTGTTTTTTTTAAAAGAATAGTGTATTTTCAAAATATATGCATATTAGATGTAATGTGAAAATAGTAAAGTGACTCAATAGAAAAATATTAAAAATATATTCTTTGAGATTTTGAGACTAAAAATGTAATTAAAGAATATCATTTAGGAGAAATTAACAAATTAATAGATAAAATTAGAAATGTTTATAGTAACTGATAGTAATCACAGTCAACATGTTTTTCGTAAAATGTTCTTGGCTGCGGTGATCAGAAACGTAACATTAAGCTAACAAGATCTTGGCGCGTTTTTTCTCAACTAGCCTTACTTTTTATGCATATAATTTGTAATGCATAATCTTAGGGAGAAATTTTCAGACAGTGTAGAGAGAAGAAAAAAGTGAGATCATTAGTAATCTCATCATACAGAGACGAAGCTGTGTAAGCTCTCCCTCCAACTCCCGGCCCCCACCCTCCTTATGTCTTTCTGTAAGTTTTTATACAGACATGCATATATATTTGGGTGTTTTTAGATGAGATTATAGTATATACGTAGTTTGAGTCTGAAAAGTTTAACTATTTCCTAATGAGAAGTGAGTATTTTCCAGTTTTTCGCTCATTTTAAACAATGCAAATGCTTATGTTTTACATATGTGCTTACACTGCTCTCACTGTTTGTTTAGAGTAGATTTCCTGGAGAAGGCGATGCACATCTTTATTTTGAAATCTGTGCCTGGATTTCCTCCTAGAAGGTTTTCCATATCACGTTCTCACGAACTGTATGCAAATACAAGGAAGACTGTCGATTTCAGTCTTACATTATTTCCTGCTGTTGTCGTTTACATGCATTTCTTTGATGAATATTGTCTGAGCATCTTGTCATGTATCTGGAAGTTTGTATTTTTCTTTTAAGAATTGCTGTGTATGAGCTTTGCCCACTTTCCCATGGGAAATTTTTCTCATTGGATTTTAAAGCTCTGTTACGGATTTTAATCCTTTATCTGCCATTAATATTGGAAATGTTTTCTGGTTTGTCATTTGTTTCACAACTTTGTAGTAATATGGGATTTTAATTTTGTTTTCAGAGGGATTTAAATACAAAGGTGGGGTGTTTTTTTTATTTCTATGTTCATTTATGGAACCTGCTTTGACTCAGATTGTCACTCTATCCCACCCCAACCCGAGATTATAAAAATATCCTCCTAAATTCTCCTCTAGAATTATATTTTATTTTTATACTTTAATCAGCACTCCATCTGGGGTTTATTTTGGTGTCAGCTTGTTTTCCCCTAATGGCTAGCCAGGTGTCCCTGCAGGATGGTTCCTCTTTTAGTTTAAGTTTTATATAGTTTTCATTTCGGTAATTCTAAGTCTTCCTTTGTAATTTTCAAACTAAGATTACACATTTATGAATCAGATTTTAAAATAAAAATAAACAGCTAACTTCTATAGATTTGAGAGTTTTATTTAAGGACTTAAACATTAGTAGCACTCTCATAGAAAAGAAAAGAAAAGAGCCTTTCATTTTTTGTAATAATCTAAGATCACCCCTTGTAAAAGAGCCCTTACTGTAAATATAAGCCAGTTATAACCACCATCCTTTTTAAGGTTCTAAAATATCATCTTAGACATGCAGGCAGGTATTTTAGAGCTTCTGAATGCCGTCTCTATGGAAACAACTTTGTGTGATGGTATGGACAGAAGCCGAGCTTCCCTCTAGATCTGATTGTCAAGTTTTTAGAGAAATGGGATGGGGGGAGGGGGAAGGGATGGATCAGTTTGTTGTTTCACTTATTTATGGGTTCATTGGTTGATTCTTGCATGTGCCCTGACCAGGGATCGAACCCACAACCTTGGCGCATCAGGATGATGCTCCAGCCAACTGAGCTGCCTGACCAGGGCTCTGTTGACTTTTTAAAGGACAAAACCTTTCATGTAAATTTTCAGGCATGTGGCTACAATGAAGTAAGGTGACTGTAGAGTGTTTATTGTACTTAACACAGCGATGAGAAAAACAAAATTAAATTGGGATAATTACAAACAAAATGAAGAAGCCTAAATAAGAAATTTTTTAAGTTCTTATCCATAGTTAGTGTCCCAAGGAAAGGACATGGAATTGCATAGAAAAATAGCTATTCAGGGTTCTGCTGTCTTTAAATCTCCTGTTAACCTTCATAGCATCTTTTTGAAATAGTTGGATTACCCCTTTTTATTCTTCTTGTTCTGAATAAGTTATACAAATGGTTTTACATCTCGACATAATAAGCCGCTCCTCTTTATTCACAAGCCTTGGGAATGTGTTGCTGTTTCAGCGACAGCAGTCGCAGCCTTTCACACCAGTAATGCCGGTCGTAATAAGCTGGAGAAGGAACCATCCTTTGTCGCTTTTTCCCCGACAGTATACAATGTTGTCCGGGCAAGTTCCGTTCCAGTCTCAGGACCAAAGTTTGACTTGCACCAGCGCAGTGGAAATCATGAAGAAAATTAAAAAGGGAGATTTCTCCTTTGAAGGAGAAGCCTGGAAGAACGTATCCCAAGAGGCTAAAGATCTGATCCAAGGTAAGACCCCAGGGAGGTGGTGCGGGTCACACTCTGGGCAGACAGACGTGGAGTCCTGCCCTTAGGCGGGCTTGGTAGTCGCCAAGAAACCCTGGCGCTCCGCAGGCCTAGGCCACCGTGTGGCGCCTCTTCCCCAACATGCTCCCTCCGTAACCCGTCTGCAGCCTCCGCAGGGCCTAGCGCAGCCGCCAGCGCCCCAGCCCCACACCTCCAGCCCCGCCTGTCCTTTTACTCCCCTCTCCCCGATGTGTGCCTCTCCCGCCTCTCTTTAGCACGGCCGAGGAGCAGGGCACCTGCCAGCTCCCTGCCTCCCACAGCCAGTGGCTGCGTCCTGCGGATCCAGCTTCCCCCCTCGCTTGGCCGCCACCTTAGTCCCTGTCACCGCGTCTCTCCTGAGACCCTCCGGCATCCTCCTGCCTTGCCTCGCTTCCTCCGACTCTGCCTATCCGTCACCGATCGGCAGAGTGACCTCCTAACACCCAGACATGCTCGTGCCTCTGTTAAAAATCCTTCAGAGAGCCATTTACTCCAAGTCAGGTCCCGTCACGGCGCGTTCAGGATTCAAGGCCCTTGTGACCTGGCCTCCTGCCTCTGCTTCGCGTCCCCTCGTCCTGCCACCGCGGACACTTGATTCCCCGGCTGTGCCAAGTTTTCGGGCTCCTGCACATCCATGCATGTGCTCTTCTCAGTCCCTGGGCACCCTCTTTATTGAGCCCACTCTGCTCCTCCCCCAGGACACATCTTCTGGAAGCTTCCCAGGTGCCCACACCCCGAGGCTGAGCCCTTCCCCTGAGCAGCCAGCACCTGGTGCTTGGGGATTCCGCTGCTGCCTGTCTCCTGACCATGTAATAGCTGGGGTTTTGTCTGCGTACCTCCTCAGTGCTCCTCTGAGTCTCCATCTCTCTAGGCCTGACTGCACCCCCTGACTTAGAGAAGGTGTCGTTAGGGAATGAAGTCGGTCTAGGGGCTCTTTCTTCATTCGGAGTTTGCCCGGGCACCATTGGGAGTCTCTGTTTGGGGTGCCTATTTTCTCCTGATTGAAAAGTCATCCTCCAGCCTCCTAGAAATAGGCTATTGTGGGCTTTCTCATTAGCATCCAGCGTTCACCCGGGCATTTAAATACATATGAAAGGGTAATCATTTTCGTAGGAGGTTGAAGCCTTGTAGAAACCATCGTGTCATGTGAACATAATTGATATTTATGTCTGAGGTCGATTTTAAACTCTGTTTGAAATGGCAGATCATAAAATAAAACATCTTGTTTATTCCCACAGGACTTCTCACAGTCGATCCAAATAAAAGGCTTAAGATGTCTGACTTGAGATACAATGAGTGGCTTCAAGACGGCAGTCAGCTGTCCTCCAATCCTCTGATGACTCCCGACATCCTGGGATCCTCAGGAGCTGCCGTGCACACCTGCGTGAAAGCCACCTTCCACGTAAGGGCCTGTGCTCCGCTCATGTGGGGGTTTGAAAAGGAACCAGACACCTCATAACCTCCGAGACACAATCTTAGTAATACATTTAAAAACAAGTGTTTTTTAATGTCAGGTGCGTTTTTATAAATCCCTTCTTGATCAAAACACATTTATAAACAGAAAGTGCGCTGGGACCAGAGTCACTGCTAACACGTAACACCCTTCCTGGACATTTGGAATGAGTGTGTGAAATAAGGTCTGATACTAGAATAGTTGAAGGTTTTCTGTAGGTAATGAAAGCAATGTGCATAATACTGGAACTTTTTTTCCTCTCAAATAAGCTAAATCATTTTCTTTAAAAACTATCAATATTAGGAACTAAGGCACCTGTGAAAGTTCGTTCATTCAACAGCCATTTTGTGCCCGTATGTTCTAGAGACCGTGCAGATCAGAAGTAAAGTGGTTGGCATTGATTGTGTATGTGAAGGCTGAGGCTACATTGCAGTAACTGCACATTTGTGCCAAGCAGATGCAAACACATTAAGATAATTGTCTAAGGAGTAAATGAATTAAGAAGAAATAAAATTACCTCTTGAAGGGATTATCTTAAGAAAAAAGGAATAACATTTCCTCTTTGGCTGCAGAAATTGATTAAAAAATTAATGACCTAGGATGTGGTGAGGTGTAAAGAGATTAACCGCAAGAATTTGTAGCAGGTGATCCACGTCTGCTCAGTGACATATGATGCAAGGTTGTCAGGGACAACCACAGCCATGCCAGAGCTTGAGGCTAAGAAAAGTAAAGACAGGCCACTGAGAGGTTAGAGCCAGCCTGGGGTTTGTAGCCCCCTTATCTTCTCCGTGTGTATTAAGTGGCCAAGGTACACCCAATTGCATTGACTGGAAGTGGAGAGCAGGGGCCCATAATGGATTAAGTCTGCTCTGTGTTGGGACTTTGTGGTCAGAATTTTAAATCTCAGACCCAGAAGCAGTAAGAGAAATGGGGGTTCCCAGGGACGAGGTGTGGGGAGGGGTGTGTTAGATTGCTGACAGTCTTCAGGAACTTCCAGTCAGTCAATGTATTTTATTGAGAGGCAGCGCTAACGTCTTCAAACGATGTATTGGAATCATGACTCCTGGACAGCCTGGCTGGTTTATTTAAGCAGCATCCTCAGTAGTCTTCCCATGAGCTTCCCTACCCACAGGAGGTTTGGATGCAGTGGTTTGTAGGACTTTATTCCCTAACAACTTGGAGCTGTGGCCAACAACCCAGAGTTGTCTCTGACCCGTAATTGCCGAGGGATCTTAACTCTTTGGCCCTCACCCGGTTCCCTTGTTTTCCTCCCCAGGCCTTTAACAAATACAAGAGGGAGGGGTTTTGCCTCCAGAATGTGGATAAGGCCCCGCTGGCCAAGAGAAGGAAAATGAAGAAGACCAGCACCAGCACGGAGACGCGCAGCAGCTCGAGCGAGAGCTCCCATTCCTCGTCCTCGCATTCCCACGGCAAGACCACCCCCACAAAGACCCTGCAGCCGGGCAACCCCGCCGACAGCAGTAACCCCGACACCCTCTTCCAGTTCTCGGACTGACGGTGCCCAGCGGCAGGACTGTGACCCGTGAGCCTGGCACCTTGGCTCCCTCTGCGATGCCTGAGGCCATGTGTCATGAAAGTCAAAGACTGTCTGCTCTAAGAAAGTAAAATATCCTGAATGAGCCAAAAAACCAAGCAAACAAAAATGTCCCACTGGCCTCATTGGACTCTGCCTCTTAGGGAATTTTTCAGGAAAACTATCAGTTATCCTGTCCTGAAGCACTGGACGGAGAGTGTTGCTGTGAATGGGCACAGGTCACACGGTTTAGCGGCCTAGCGGGATGCCAGCGGGACGATTCTGGAAAGAGCAGAGGCCCCTGTACATGTCATTAGGGGCTGGTTGGATTTGAACTGCTTACAGAGTGAGTCACAGGTCTTTCAGATGTCCGCCAGCCAGAGCTGCTCCTACTGTGACGATGACACCTCTGCCTCGCCTTGTGGGTAATGTGGGCCTTTCAGAGATTTGCACCCTTTGAACACTGATCTATCGGAGAAAATGTCTGTTTTCAAAAAGACTCTGTAATGAATTTTATGTGTGGCATAGACTTATCTCTTGAGAAGGGATTTTAACTTATTGTTTTTATTTTGTGGTTACATGATGATAACCTGCTATTACTCATCTTTTTCTCAAAGGTTAAAGGGAAGCTCCAAGGCCCCACGGCCCGGGCTCCGTGCTGGGCCGCCGGAGCTGCATGCAAGGCCCGTGTTTCCATTTTGCGCCGCTCTCTCCCCGCACTTTGTTTCAATGGTATCGCGGAACCTTAAGGTACATGTCTTTGTTTTAGGTAATTCTGCACTTTATAAAAGGCGACAAATAAAGCAAACTACTTTATGAAGTGCACTGGTGAAAGCGTACGTACTGTACTTTCGCCATTTTTTCCATTATCTGCTTTCAGTTGGTCCTCGCAGCCCCTTCTCCTTGGTTTGCACGAGTGGAACGGGCCGCTCGGGCAGCCTCGCGAGGGAGACCCAAAGGGAAACTGTTCAGCACTGTGCTTCGTCTTTGTACACTGTGTTGCCTGCAGGGAGGCGTTTCCTCCCGTAGCCGGATATCATGTACATAAGATTTTAGAACCATAGCTATGACTTATTGGGAAATTTTCCTGTTAAATTTTAAATCCAGGAAGCATATTTTATAAACTTACGCAGAGCACTTTTATTGCTCAAAAGTTCTGAATTCATTCAGAAAACAAGTGTTATGTGATGAAGACGTGTCACTGAAGGATTGCTGCATTTACAGATATGATTAATTCGTTTTCTATGCAAAAAAGGACATGCTAGAATTTGTATGTTATATTTTCTTTTAAAGCCATCACACGAAATGTTAAGTCTGAGAAAGGTGATCTTTGCTGTGTTTACAGGAATCGTGCTTAAAAAAATAATGCCCAACACGTTTATTTTAGTTTTTGTTAATGATAACCTCTGGAGCATTAGTTTGGAATTTGGGTATGGTATTTATTTATTCATTTCTTGGGATAATGCAGCATTGTTTTCAGCCAGCTAAAAATATTGCACTCTATGTAATAGTGTATTTATTGCTAAATCAGTGTATATATTAATAGCACAGGCAACAAAAATGGCAAATATTAAAATATTTTCAAAATATTATGCATCTTGTTCACATTTTTGTCCACAATCATTGTTGGAAATAACTTTTTATACTTTGCAGTGGCCCAAATGGCTACATAATTCTCATTGAGTCGCTTGTACTCCTAGCCTGCGGTCATAGTAATGATGGGGAAGCTGTGTGACTTATTACCAATTATAGCTAATTCACAAAATGGGATTCCATCAGGCACAGATTTATAACAATCAAGAAAATTTCCATTTATATCTACGCTTATGTTGAATATTTTTGGAAATGTGTAAGTTAGCTCTTCAAGTCGTTATTTGAAAACTGCATTCTCATAGAAAATGCTGGTTGTAAAGTATGAACTGAAAGGATTCGGTTGCTAATGGAAAACGGCGCAGAGAGCGGCCAGTACACCGTGATGATTGATGATGTAATTGACTCATTGTGAACACTGAAAATTAAGGGGTTTCATTTTATTTATTTTCCTTGCCGTCTCTTCTGGAGGACTTGGCAGAAAACAAAATGGGTAAAACACCAGGCAGAGTAAGAGGAGGGAGGAAAGAGAAGGGTAATCCATCAACTGACGGGCCCCCCTGAGTAATCAGAGGGGGCTTTTGGAAGAGCCAGCGAGCACTCAGAGAAGAGCCCTCTTGTCGAGTGTCCTCACCCTCACCTACCTGTGAGCACCGGGAAGGCCGCACCGGCCGCCAGGTTTGCCGCAGCTCGGTTGGGTGCAATGAAATGCACTTGAAAATTCACAAGATTTTCACTTAGTCACATTGGAAATAAACTGAAAAGTGCTTCATGTGAAAGTGTTCAATGGAAGGACTCTTTTGGTATTAGGAGTAAAATAGAAGTAGATCTAAGAAAAACAAATATATACATTAAATTCTCTTTACAGCAGAAATTTTGAAAGACCAGTTTCTTCTCATTATTGCGCCAGATCCTATGGCTGAATGAGTTAAATTAGCTATTTTGAAATTCATTAATTCTTCCAAACCTCTCTCAAATAATAAATCACTGACCCACTAAAACAGAAAATTGAGTTTCCTGAGTTAATTTCAACTTATTTGTCTTGGAGTTACAGATTCATTTACTCCTGAAAAACTGCCTTTTAATTTTTTTTTTTTATATCACTGCTGATTTCTTCAAGAACTAGGTAAATGGCTACATTTTAAATATAAGGTAAATTATTTTAAAGAAACTTACTAGGATAGCCATGACTTTTTTAAATAAGGAAATTTCTTTTGTATCTCATTTTTAAAAATAGGTTCTCAAATACTTTATAAAAGTATACAATTTATTGCCTACTTGTTCACCTTGCCCCATTTCAAACACCTGTTGTTGTCATATTTATTAAGGTCAGGGTACCTCAAAATGGTGAAAATTTCTACATTAGCGGCCCTATATGTGCCTTAGACCGCTCGATTATTTTGGGTGTTCTCCCAATGACCAATGATAACATAATTGGGTGTTTGTGTTATCACATTTCTAATATTCTTTAACATCTAAGTGAAAAGGTTGAATTCTGATATACCACTTACACTATGTCAAAATGGTCGCCTTATAGATTAATTATTGTAACATAATGAAAAATCTTAAAATATATGACTTTACCCCTCAAGTGTCTTACACCATTAATACCCCAATTTCTAGCTTTTAATTAATTATATCCCCCACATGAATGTCCATCTTTATGCTATGCTTTTATTTTGCACTAAAATGAATGTTGTAGGCTCTAATGAAATTCAGAATTTAAATGTGAGTGATTATAAAACTCAAAGAGTGGAAAAGTCACCATAAGATAACAGGAAGTATGCATCAAGTAAATATTTTATGTATAATCTACCCAAAGAAAATAACTGCTGCAGCAACATAAAGGTTTTGTTCCATCTAAAGTGACTTTACTCCAAATTGTGACATTTCTTAGAATATTTTCCTTAAGAGTAATTATTCCCATTCTTTTTATGTGGGGCGGAGAGTGTATGTTCAAGAGGCAACAATTTTCATCTTGAGAACGTTCAGTGTGCCTCGCTTCAGTCCCCATCTTCAGCGTTTCCGACCCTTGGCTTTCAGAGTCTTTTTTCTGTGCCCTTTCCTTTGTGTACCCAGCTCCTGGTGGGTAAGGGAGCGGGCGAGGCTTCCCTTCCCCAAGGCCGTGCCCGCCTTTTAGCCCTTGACTGTGTGGCTTAGGCAGGTGCCAGGATTTTATGTTCTGCTGCCGCTGGACTGAAAGGCAGAAAGACCAAAGTGGCTCCCAGGTTACCTGTCTTGGCTTCTTCGTACAAACGCAAAGGAGGTGCCTTTGATTGCCGGTCGTTTCCTTTCCCTTATTACTTGTGGCCACGTGGTAAAAAGCTTGTATTTAGAAGGAGACTTGGATTAAACGACGGGATTCTTGGTGGTAGCTCTGCAGACTTCGTTTCCCTGCTGTACTTCTGCTCGGGGAGGTGGGAAGACGTGTAGTAGTTGTCTAGTTAGAGCGCTGCTTAGGGCATCTTAAGGAGAAGCTCATCAGATCCGATCTGATCAGATCAGATCCGATCCAATCAGATCAGATCAGATCAGATCGGGTGAGCGAGTACTTGAGACGGCAGCTTCGCTCCGGACGCGGGCGCTGGGATGGGCCTTAGCCCGCTCCTGTCTTCCTCGGCTGACAGTCTGCGCGGTTTGGTGCGGTTCCCTCTTCACGGAGAGAAGGTTCCGTCTGCGTTCCCGACCCTCCTGCAGCGAGCAGGTTCCATCTTCTCGGTTGTATTTCGAGGTCCCGCGTTTCACAAGAGGACAGAGCAAAAGGAGGTGGTGACTGAGAGAAGGGAATTTCAGCTTATGAACCGAAGACTGCCATCCGTTTATTCTCTGGCACTTCTGCTTGCGGGGGGATTGGAAAAGCATTATTTTTGCTGTTGTTTTGTTTTGCTTTGTTTTGTTTTAAAATCCAGTAAGACTGAGGAACTTGACATTCTTAGCTGCAGTTTCATTTTTCACTTTCATGTAATATTGCGCTGTTTTGCGGGAATGGATACGTGATAATTCTCATTACAGACCTGTTGCTGTGGTAGGCATTTGGCTTTTCCTGACAGTTCATTTTAGGTGCCATGGTGCTGTCCTGGCTGCTCAATTTATAAATACTGGCAGAAGGGGAGGTTAAATGTACAATAACTGTCATTCTTTTGATGAGTCTAAAGGGAACTCTGTAGTAGTACAAGTTTGAAAAATATCCCAAAAAACTTTACTGGCATGAATTTTGTTTGAAAGAAGAGAAAACCACATATACACGTACTTGGAAATAAATAGCAGTGGTTGCCCAACATGGTGAATGTACTGAAAATGACTGAATTGTACACTTAACATGGAGAATTTTATGTTAAGTGAATGTTATCTTAATTTTTATTTTATTTTTAATCACGCATACCCTACCAGCTGGAAAGGATAGGTTATTTTGAGGAAGTTCTAGCACCTGCTCTTCAGAGGAGACCATCCCCAGCCCTCCTGTCTTTGGCAGCAACTCTGTTTGAAGCCTAATTCATTTTATGGTTGGAAAATCTTCTCTTACAGACAGAAATTCGTTCTTAGGGACAAAGTGAATTTTTTTCTTGCAGACACCACCAAAATTTCAGCCTAACAGAGAGAGGACACCTCCTTTGAGTCCTATTTTCCCAGTGTTGGGTAATGTTTGCATAGGCCTCGAGGTGCTGCGTGTTTTAATGGTGACCACAGAGAGTTTCTCATGGCTCTTATCTCTACTCTAAAGGTTAATCCTCTGCCTTTTCCCTCATTGTCCTAATGGGGCCACCAGGCTCTTGTTTTACATACATTTTTCTTTGGCGAATGCTTTTCCCAAATCTTTTCTTATCCTACCTAAACTAACCTTCTCTCAGAAGCAGTTTCATTTGTGCATGTAACTGAAGTATGTCATTTGGAGATTTCTCTTTCTCAAACATAATACCATTGAAATACCAGAAAAGTTCGCTACTCTTGACTCTGCCATTTTACTGAGTAATCAGAGGCCTGTTTTCTCCCTTAACTCCGCTGTATCCTTGGTTATTTATACTCATTGAATGCAACAGTTTTATCAACATGAGAGTGAATGTATAAATCTTTTTTTTCACCAATTGAGATATCACATGAAACTTTGCTTTTGTGCCTGGCAAAGATGAACTATATTGAAGAAAATGCATTATAGATTTCAAAATTTCATAATGCTATGTATATAGCAAATATAAATAAAGTTGTTTCAAACTGCAGATTGTTTTACATAAAAATCTTTCTGTGAAGACTATATATTGCAGCGCATTAAAATCAGTACTTTTTATACATTTTGAAAGATAAATGTTTTGAAGGTATTTTTAAATAATAACTAGCTACGAAAATTATTTCTTAAAGTATTTAGTATAAAGCATACTTAAAATGTATGAAGTAGTATAAGGATTTTGTGTCATTAGTCGAATTGTATACATGTTTTAAAACAAGAACAGGCTGGGAAGATAAAGATTTGTTTATAATCAGTATTTTACTGAATGATTTTGCTATATCTTTTAGATATTTGAGTAAAGTCAAAGTATTCCAGATTTTTTTTATTTCAGTGTCCTTGCTTTTGAATGTCAGAATACTCAAACTCCACTCACTTAAACTTCAAAAACTTTTTCTTTTTAAAAAAATGTATCTTTATTGTTGAAAGTATTACAGATGTCCCCTTTCCCCCCCATAGATCCCTTCCACCCCAAGGCCTTCCCTATACCAATGTCTGTGTCCATAGGTTATGGATATAAGCATGTAAATTCTTTGACTAATCCCTCCCNTATGCATATAAATTCTTTGACTAATCTCTCCCCACCCACTCCCCCACCCCCGCCTTCCCTCTGCGATCCCTCAGTCTGTTCCGTGCTTCTATGTCTCTGGATCTGTTTGGCTCACCAGTCTACTTTGTTCATTATATTCCACGTATGAGTGCGATCACGTGAGTTTGTCTTTCTCGGCCTGGCTTATTTCGCTCAGCATAATATTCTCCAGGTCCTTCCATACTGTCCTAAAG